TTTCCCTCTTTCTCTACAACCATCTCTTTGCCTTCTCTCCCTCCCTCTTTTCCTCCCTTCCTTCCTTCCTTTGCCTTCTATCCCTCCCTCCCTCTTTCTCTTCATTCCTCCCTCCCTATCTCTTCGCATTTCTCTTCCTTCCTCCTTATCTCTTTGCATTCTTTCCTTCTCTCCCTCCCTTTTTCTCCCTTCCTCCCCATCTCTTTCACTTCTTTCCCTCCCTCCCTCCCTCCCTCTCTAGATCTCATTCTATTTGTTCTACAATGGGCTTTGCGACTAGTAATGTATAAAGAGAGAAAAGCCATGTTTACTTGTCTCTCTCTCCTGAAGCAGAAGCCCAATTTTTGTGAGGGACAAAACATTCTGCACATGCTCAGAGGCAATCTTCTCCAAAGCAAGAAGACAGGAACCAAAATACATTGTACCCCAGCAACATTTCATTAGGTTTTTAACCTTCAAGTAACATTAAAGAGCATGGTCTCTGAGCATGGGGAGACTTAACTAAGTAAACACAGAGTCCCATTCATATATGAGATTAAAGGTAAGGTTTCCCTTGTTCGAAAGCTGGTCGAATCCGACTCTAGGGGGCGGTGCTCATCTCCGTTTCCAAGCCAAAGAGCCAGCGCTGTCCGAAGACTTTTCCATGGTCACATGGCCGGCATGACTAGACGCCAAGGCACACGGAACGCTGTTCCCTTCCCACCAAAGCGGTACCTATTTATCTACTTGCAATTTCTTGCTTTCAAACTGCCAGGTTGGCAGGAGCTGGGGCCAGAGACGGGAGCTCACTCCGTCATGCGGCACTTGGGTCTCGAACTGTGGAGCTACCGATCTCTCGGTCTGCAACTCAGCGCCTTAACCTCTGAGCCACCGTGGCCTCCTATACGACTGCAGTCTTCCAAATCAGAAGCTGTACTTTCCGGTCTAAGCCATAAAACAACACACATACACGCACATCTGACTCACCAGGTAGCATGAAGACCCCACCGTCGTTGTTTGAATCTGGAAGAGAATCGGGGGCCAAGAATCAGAGATGGGTACTAGAACTGTTTTCAAGAAGTGTTTACAAGTAAATGGCTGGTGGGCGTAGAAGGTAACCCATACCAAAGAGTAACCTTTGGGTTGCTCAGTGGCTCCGGAGCCACCTGTGGCTCTTCTGAGCACTCTTCCTCAATGCCCCATGTTTCAGAAAAGTGGACAAGGTCCTTATCCGGTGGTACTTGTGGTTGGCAGGGGGTTCCCACCTTGAAACTGTTGGAAATGTATGTGTTTACAAGGTCTGACAATCCAGTCATTATAGGGTTAACTTGTTTGCCTAGTATCACTATTGTTTAGACTGACCTGGAAGGGATACCTGGCATTAAGCCAATGGGGGAATTAGCCCGGGGAAAAGTAGTTTTCTACTGTGATACAGATTGGTCGTTTGTTCCAGGTGACTTCCTTTCTAGGGGTCAAGAAGAAGGAGAGATTCTCCATTATCTGTGTGCTAGTGTTGACTATAGGCAGCTTGGGAAAATGTAGCTGTTAGTGTTATGTTTATTTGTAGTAATCCCGTATACCTTTTACCCTTAGAAATAAAGGTTTTTAAAAGCAAAAAAATCTCTTCTTTCCAACAGAGCAAGATCCATTGATAGTCTGAGTATTAAACACTTTTGACTATTTTACAACAGAAACAACCACTGCTGGTAGAATGGGCAAGCTGCGAGCCACCTTGAGGTGCAGCCCTCCTGCCAAGGATGGAAGTCAGTGTGGCTCTTTGGGATGAGGGAAATGTGGCTTTCCACAGCCCACTGACGGAGTATCACCGCTTTAGGTGCAAACACGTACACTGGCGTTTCAACACAGGTGAGCCACTGTTCTGGCAATTTATCCCAGTACCTACCAGCGCGTCACAGGCTGGTAGGGAGGAAATGGGGGAGGCCCAAAAACCAGAAGTGACATCTTCGTGTCAGGTAGCACTCTAGGATTCAACTAAAACGCTATGGTTTTACCGAAAAGTTTTACCGTAAAGTTTTGGGAGAATCCGCAAGCGTTGTCCCAGTGACATTCTTGAAAGACAAACCCGTCACTTAAATGTTAAAACAGAAAAACCGTCTTGAATGCAACAAAACCCACTTCAGGTAGTTTTGCCGGACAAAAGCAGATCTTAACAGGTCGGAGGACGGGTCTCAAAAAAGAGGGCGTTTCTCCGCCTCCATCCCAAGAGCATCCTCCATAGATCACACAAAAAAATACGATAGCCTCTCCCTAAGCCATCTTGGTGCCCTGACCTAGCAGCCCCATAGCCAGTATTTTGCAATTATTTTTCATAATGAAGTGGGGGTGGGTTGGCGTGCGCCCCTCTCCCACTCCTCCGGCTGATCAGCAGCCCACATGCTCCCTGCCGATCAGCTGAAGGGCCCTTTAAATCTGGCAGAATTAAAGGATCCCTTTAAGTGCTTTTGAGAAGAAGCGGAAGGACCTTTAAGAAGTAGGAGCCCTTTCAGGAAGGGGGCCGGCTCTTTAAGGAAGAGCCCCCAATCGCCCCACCATAGCTATGAGCCAGTGACCTGGATAGCCCAGGCTAGCCCAACCTCATCAGATCTCAGAAGCTAAGTAGGGTTGGGCCTGGTTAGTATTTGGATGGGAGACCTCCAAGGAATACCAGGGAATGGTGACGTGGAGGCAGGCAACGGCCAGCCACCTCTGAACATCTCTTGCCCTGAAAACCCTACAGGGGTGGCCATAAGTCAGCTGTGACCAATGCTCCCTCTAAGCTGTGGAGTCTTGTGAGCAAAAATTCTCCTTTGTGAGCTACTGGCATGAAAGTTGTGAGCAAGAGATTTGGCTACTGCATCAATGAGTGTGCTCTGGAGCCATCTTTCCTGAGCAAAGACAAAAATGTGTGAGCCAGAGGCTAAAAAACTGAGCTAGCTCACACTAACTCAGCTTAGAGGGAACATTTGACGTCAGTTTCCACCTCCCTCAAGCCCTCTCAGCATCCCAGTGCCGCATTCCTACTTAGCATAGGGAACACACTACCAAACCAGAGGTTAACGTTTGTGTTCCTGACTTTTGGTAGGACCCTTACCGAAAAGTTTGATGGTGGACGAAAAGCAGGAGCGGTCCTTGGTCGTACACTGCTGCTCCGTCTGGACGCATTCGTGGAACATCCCCATGCACTGGTAGCACCGCAGGCCACCGGCTGCAGAACAAAGTAACAGGTGAACCTCGAACGTTCATTCTGTGCGAACAATCCCCTCATAAGACGCCAATGTTGGACCAGGCCAAAGGCCCATCCAGTCCAACACTCTGTCACACAGAGGCCCAAAATTCCAGGAGCCATCAGGAGGTCCACCAGTAGGGCCAGGACATTAGAAGCCCTCCCACTGTTGACCCCCCCCCAAGCACCTAGGACAGCGCCTTGTGAGGTGTAGCCACTGATAATGGCCCCTTTCAGTCAGTACAGTTTTGGAGTCCAAACTGCTAAGGGAGAGAATGTTACCAGCAATCCTCACATAGGGTTGCCAAGTGCAATTTACCTTAGAGCGGGGGAGTCTCGGGCCCCGTCCTGGAGGTTTTCATGCCCGGAAGTGACGTCATCGCATCAGTCACGTTGGGGGTGGGACCACTATGATTCAAGGGAAAACCATAGAGTAGGGCTGCCTAGTCCCCCCGGGGGGCGGAAATCCCCCCGCCCCAGAGGCCCGTTCCCCGACGCCGGGGCATCGCGCGCCCGGGGGAACCCTGCCCCAGCGTGCACGTCGCAGGGAAGTGATGTCATGACGCCAGGCACGCTGGAGGCGGGGCCACGGCCATACAAGGAAAAACTCTATGGTGCCTGGTGTCATGACGTCACTTCCCTGTGATGTGCATGCGGCGCGTGTGTGCTTCGCGCACACGCACACACACCGGGATCCACACGGGAGTCCCCCGCTGGCAAGGTAAATGCCACTTGGCAACCCTACCATAGAGTTTTCCCTCGAATCATAGAGCATCCCCCCACAACGTGCCCGGCATTTGGGGGGTGGGGTTCCCCCGGCGGCCTCAATCCGGGCCGGCGGATAACGGGACCATCGAGCAGGGGTTTCCCCGCCCCCCCGGGGGGGCTTGGCAAGCCTATCCTCCCAAGCTGTGCAGCCGCCATTTTGTCTCAACAATGAGCGGTATTTTCCCGCTTCAGGACATGCAAGGACACACCCTTAACAAATCTAAGATGCTGACTGCACATACAAAGGGTTACCAGCCTCCAAGTGGGGCCAGGAGATCTCCCAGAATCACAATCAATCCCCAAGCCACAGAGATCAATTTCCCCGGAGGAAATACTACTTTGGAGCACTGCTCCCTCTAAGCTGTGGAGTTTTGTGAGCAAAAATTCTACTTCATGCACTACTAGCATTAGAGTTGTGAGCGAGCAATTTGGCTGCTGCATAAATTAGTTTGCTCTGGAGACCTCCTTCTATGGCTAAGACGAAAATGTGTGAGCCGGAAGCTAAAAAACTGTGGGCTAGCTCACACTGACTCAGCTTAGAGGGAACACTGCTTTGGAGGGTGAACTCCATGGCATTACATGCTGCTGAGGACCCTCCCCTCCCCAAACACAGCCCCTTCCCAGGCTCTACCCCCAAATTTCCCAACCTGGAGCTGGCAACCACACACCCACCAATGCTGGAAAAGATGTACATTGCCCTAGAGACACAAAATGGAAACCATGCATATCTAGGGTTGTCAGTCTTGTGCTAGCCCCAGCAGGGGATTGTGACCAGGGGAGGGGGGGGGCCTACCTGATCAGCATCATGCCGATGCCACAACATCACTTCCAGAACAAACCAGAAGTGACATCATCACTTCGCCACAATGCTCTAGGATTCACCCCATACTCTATGGTTTAGCCATAGAGTTTGGGGTGGGTCCTACAATGTTGTGCCAGCACAATGACATCACTTCTAGTTCTCTTCTAAGCAGTGACTTAAAGGGTTGGTACAATGCTGAATCACACCCCCATTCCCACCCCCGCCCTGTTGAGTGACACTGAGGAATGGAAGGTCCCAGATGGGAAGTCTGTCCTGGGAGATGTAGCTGCCCTATGCATATCAGAAAAACTGTGGGTAGTGTGTAGGGCTGCTAGCTCTGGGTTGGGAACTATCTGGAGATTTTGGTGGGTGAAGGCTGAGGAGGGAGGGGTTTGGAGAAGGGGAGGAAAGAGGGGAGGGACATCGCGTCTGTGACAACCTCCTTATTCTGGAGGACTAGTTTCACTTTAAAAGTTCTCTTTATTTTGTTTAACTGGGTATATTCTGCTGCCACCAGGAAATTTTAAGGATTTCCAAACCTTTATGCTTATAATGTTGCTCTTACTAGTTTGGTAGACCGAGTTCAAGGCTTACGAGGAACTATGTGGTCCTGGGAAGTATTTCATTCAGAGCTGGTATAAACTTGGATAAAATAGGATTTATTGAAATAACTACTAAATAAGAGGGTGGTACACTGTAACTAGTAATGTGTAAATGATGTACAATTGTTTTGGTATCACTCTCAATCTTATCCCTCACTGACAGGGATCTTTTCATGTAACTTTGTAACACTTGTTTATCTCAATGCCATATATGTTCACTGTTTCACTCAAGTTTGTTATGACACTCAGACTTTCCTTTAACTTTTCTTCACTTAAACTTTACTTTACTTTTTCCTATACACTCAGCTTTCAGCTCTCTTTCTCACTGAACAACCTCAGCTGTCAGCTTCTAACTGCTTCAACACAGAACAGCCCGTGTACCTCAACTGTCAACTTGTAACTGAAACTCCTGACTGACTCACAGACTCATCCAACCAGATTCACTTCCAAAACTCCTCCCCCTCTCTGTCAACCACCAATCATACCACACTTGTCTCTCTCAACCACTCTAGTCTATCTACCACAGCTGTGCAACCAAACCTTTAAAGAGACACACACACATAAAAACAAGAAATCATTACAGCGTCCACCTTCCAAAGTGACCATTTCTTCCAGGTAAACTGATCCGTGTCACCTGGAGACCAGTTGTAATAGCAGGGAGATCTCCAGCCACCACCTGGAGGTTGGCAACCCTAGTGATTGGGTTTCCCAGAGGACTTCAGTGGAGAAAATGAAGTGGTTACTAGGCTAAGGAACTCATTCTGCTTATCTTGAATCAAGTGGCATCTTTGAGACCACTTGACTCAAACCTTGTTCTGCTCCTTCTGACCAACACTGAATCTATTCTACCCACCTGGATCTCTTCTGCGTGTCCATGACCTCCCTCTCCCCCACTGATATCGACAGGATTTGGTATTCAAAAGACACCCCTCGGACCTTAACAAAGGGCTGCGAAGGGCCAAATTGGACATGCCCGTGCAGTTCCAAATCACGCACAGCGAAGAAAGAAGTCAAGATGTCCCAACCCAGGCTTCCGGTCTGGCTCCCGCGAAAGGCTTCCGGTCTGGCTCCCGCGAAAGGCAGACGCATCCTCGGGTCGCTCCCGAGGGCGCCTTGCCCGCCCGCGGTGGAGGAGGGAATCCGCGCAAGCGGAGCCCCGAACGAGCCCCTCAGATGAGAGGAGCTCGGATCCGGGGCGCTTTAGGGCGTTCCAGGGGGGAGTCTCTCTTTCGGTCGAGAGATCGGAGATTGAGACTCTCGCCATGCCCTGCCCCTATGGACCTTGCTGCGTGAGCGACCCCGTTCTACGGGGTTTAGCGGAACCACCGGGCGTCACCGAGTGATGAAGCGGGAAAAAAAATGGAAAAGAAAAGACTGGCGTAACTGTGAGTTGTCAAAATACAGAGAAAATGAACTAAGAACGTTTCCCCCCCCC